GCTGTCATAATTACATATATTTTCACATGATATCATAACACTTACAAAAATTACTAATATTTTGACATGATATCATATCAATGTTACGATATTTACATTTATTTTGGCAAGATATCATATCAATGTCACGATAATTACATATATTTTGACAAGATATCATATCATTGTAATGATAATTTTTACGATGATATTATATCATTGTTGTGATAATTTAATATACCTATTGTTTGTTATGATATCATATCCTTGTCTTATAATAACACATATTTTGGTTCGGTATCATATATTGTTTTGATAATTATATATATTTTTTCATGATATCATATCATTGTTACAGATATTACATATATTTTGTTATGATATATCAAGCCAATCTATTACAATAGCACATATTTTTGTTATGTTAAATATGGTTACGAAAGTTACATAAATTTTTTTATGATATCATATATCATATATTTTTGTTGATATCATCATGATTGCAGTATTATCAATGATATTATTTTATAAGTATCATTTTATGTGATAAGATCTTATACATTATATGACCATCTGAAAAGACCAGAAAAGAGATACCCACATTTTGATCTCAAGCTTTCTCCTTTCAATTATTTTCCATCACTATATCCAGAAAAGACTTTTCTAGATCCTGGAACGCGTTTGCTTATCGATCGACATCATTCTATTGTTCTTCATACGGAGACATTTAATTGCACTGGCCTAAAATAACTTATGACAAATTAATTACGTCAAACATACATACAGAAATACATACATACATACATACATACATACATACATACATACATACATACATACATACATACATACATACATACATACATACATACATACATACATTCATACATACATGCATACATAGGGATAAGTGGCTCTATGGTGTTAGGTCGAATTCATTTTGCTCCGTATTTTTTCTTAGTTTTTGAATTTATAATAAAGTTTGTCGATTAAATTTAATTGCGTTGGATTGATAAAATTCTGCTGAATACACTCCTATAAATTTTTCGTTGGTTAATTGTGGTTGATTTTGGGTTACATTAATTAATTTTCACTTATTATAATCTAAATTCGTAGTAAATTGACGAGGTAAAAGTAGTAAGTGTTATAGGATAGTCATATTATTTATGTTGTGAGTTGTATTGTTTCAAAAGTTGAATTGCATTTCCACGTTACTTTGCTTGTTATAAAATCAGACTGTACAAAAAATTTGAACTAAACTAACAATGTCTACAAAGTGTGTAAAATGCATAGTTGTAAAAACAAAAGACGGCGTAAACCAAACTGTTAAATGTTATCATTGTGAATATTTATTTCACGCTAAATGTGTTAATATTGATGAAGAAATAGTGTCGATACTGAACAGTGAAAATAGCATTAAATGGTTTTGTGAAAAATGTCTGAAAGCCAAAGATAATACAAAGGAATTGGTAAAGTAAAAGTCGGTTGTAAACAATTTTCATGAGAAAATTGAGAAAATTGAAGAAATAAACATTGCGGTTCAGACTCAGTTAGAAACAATTAAAACCATGATCACTAAAAATGATGATAATTTGACTGTGTTGGAAAAACAGGATATAAAAATGGTCGATGAGATTTGCAACCTCAAAAGTGACTTGAAAGCTTCATGGGCGAACATCGTTGAGAAAAAACATTACGAAAAATGTAGAGATTATAAATAATCAGGTCAAAAACGTCCAAAGGACCTTGAACGAAGCCAGTGAAATAAAAGAAGGAGAAAGAAATCTAGTGATTTTCAACTTACCAGAAAAAGAAAATCAAAACGATCGTGAACTTATGATGAAGATATTCAAGCATATTTCAAAAGACATGTCAGATAATGGTATTGAGAAGGTCTTTAGATTGGGTAAAAAAAATGAATCGGTGATTCGTCCGGTCTTGATAAAGTTAGATAGTCTAGGTACGAAGGGAGATCTTTTAAAGCATGCTTCTAAAATTATGTCATTGAAAGATAACTTAAAGAACATCAGATTGTGTAATGATTTGACGCGCGAGCAAAGGAGTGAACTGAAGAATTTGGTGACTGATGCTAAAGCGAAAGAGGCGGCATGTCAACGAGGTTTTTTATACAGAGTAAGGGGGACGGTTGGAAGGTGTAAGATCATAAAGTTCATGAAGGGGACGGAAAATTAGATGATTCTGTGGTGCCATGGTATGATAATGAATGTCGGGAGCATAAAAGACTCTGTAGAAAGGTCGAAAGAAATTATAAGAACTCAATGTCAAGTGATGGAAAAGATAAATGGATTAGTGCACTGAAATCCAAGAAGTTGGTTTTTACCAAGAAAAAGAACTGTTTTTGGTCAAATTTGGTTAATGAGAATAGAAACAGGCCAAAACAATTATGGAATGCACTAAATAAACTACTTGGCAAAGCCTTTGTTGACAATATTGATAAGACTGAAACGGTGCACACTAGTGATGGCTTTCTAAAATTTTTTAACGATAAAATTGAACGAGTTCGAGATGCAACGGCTGGTAACGAATCAGTTTTTCTTGAGAGGGAGATTGAAATGGGCAGTGGGTTGCTAGTATTTCGGAAATATAGTGAAGAAGAAATAATAAAAATAATAACAAATTGTCCAACGAAAACGTGTTTACTTGATTGCCTTCCAACGTATTTCTTCAAAAAACACATTGGTTTGTTCTCTGGGTTTTTGACAAGTCTAATCAACATGTGTTTGACTAATGGCATCGTTTCTGCATCCTTTAAACATGCAATGGTTATACCACTTCTTAAAGGAATAGATCATGATGTCAATGATATTACCAATTATAGGCCAATATCAAATCTTCGTTTCATATCTAATGTAATGGAAAGAATTAAACCATTTGTCTGAAAATAATTTGTTGCATAGTAATCAGTCAGGATACAGAAAATATCATTCGACAGAAACAGCCTTGTTACATGTTTTTTCAACTTTGTGCGCAGCGATGGATAACCAATATGTATCGCTGGTTGCTTTCCTAGATATGAGTGCAGCCTTCGATTGTGTTGATCATGATATTCTGATATTCTACTGCGGAGATTATGTGAAGATTTTGGTGTAAAGGGGACAGTACTTGCATGGTTCACATCATATTTTTCAAATCGTACTGAACAGATTTTTTACAATAAAACCTGGTCTAGAATTAAGAACATAAAGTTTGGAGTTCCTCAGGGGTCGGTGTTGGGACCAATATTGTTTCTGTTGTACACACATGAGATCCTGGATGTCATCAAGTCCTTTGGATTCACGGGGCATGCCTTTGCTGATGATATACAGATTATTGCTAGTTGCCCGCCAGATGAGTTTGATAAGATGAGTAACAACTTAACACGTTGTCTGGCAGAGGTCAATAAATGTATGATTAAAAACAGACTAATATAACTTAATCAGAGTAAAACAAAACTACTGCCGGTAGGAACCTGGCAACAGCTTTCAAAAATAAATATCTCATCCCTGGATATAGATAATGTCAAAGTGGAATTCTGTACAAATGCTTCAAGTTTGGGCGTTAACATTGATTCTAAGTAAACGTTGGATAAAATCATTGAGGAGACATTGATTCTAAGTAAACGTTGGATAAAATCATTGAGGAGACTTTGCACTTTCCAACTACGTAGGTTGAAATTGATAAAAAAATCGCTAGACGAAAATACTTTTAAGATGTTAATGCATGCATTCATCCATTCGCGTTTGGATTATTGTAACAGTTTGTTCAATGGCTTACCAGAAAAATCATTTGGGATGTTACAGTCAATTCAAAATCGTGCGGCTAGAGTTGTGTCTGGCGCCTTTAAATACGACCATGTTTCACCAATTTTAAAGCAACTACATTGGTTGTCTATCAAAAATCGTGTTCTGTTCAAAACTTGTGTATTAATTTTTAAATGCATCAATAATTGTGCACCTAGATATTTGATAGACAAAACAACACGAAGGGCACCTCATTATGTCAATTTGCGATCTGATGAGTCAAATTACCTGGCTGTACAGACAAGCCAGTTAAGAATAGGATCTAGAAATTTTGTTGTTTTGGCTCCTGGGATATGGAACAATCTCCCAAGCCATTTACGGGATCCTGGTCTGAATTTGTTGACATTTAAAAGGCTGTTAAAGACTTATTTGTTTTCATCCTAGCATTG